TAATTAATAATTCATATATGTATATATATTTATAAGATATAAGATTAAATGTATTTTTATAAAAATGATTATTTTACCTTAAAGATTTTAAACATGAAATTTCATAATATTTTTTTAAATTAAATAAACATATGTAAGGGCAATTTATTATTTATATGATTAATTAATAATTAGTTTGTGTATAAAATATAAGATTAAATATATTTTTAAAAAATAATACCCTTACTATATATTTATGAATGTTCCTAATATTTTTTTTTCTAATGATCATATGATGAAAACATTAAATATAAATAATTTGATTAAATTTAGAGCTGAAGTCATCAATTTATTATATTTTTTTATTAAACATAATATGAAAATATTGGGTAAGTTTTGTAGGGGTTGTAAAGAGAAGAAAGAGACACGTCTTTCAAAACCTGTAATCCGTTGATGTCCCTCCAAAAGTGAGAATTTTTTGCCTCTTGTACAGCTATGGTTTCACAACCTAGAATTATGGTTTCAGGCCAAACTTTAGTTTTCTCAAAATGTGCAGTCTTTGGATGATTTTCAGGTTTAAACCATGGTTTGATATTTAAAAGTATTTTTTCTTGTTTTGCCAAACACCCCTTAGAATAGTTTATAAGTGAGTTTTAATTATAATTTATAGAATATGTTAAAAGTGTTTTTAAAAAATAATTTTCTGCATATTGAGACAAACTCTCTTACAGATTTATTTCGTATATCGTAAAATCACTTTTAAAACTATGATTTGATTTTCATCAAAACACCTCCTAAATATGTAAAAGAAATTTTATTTCAACTTACGTAAAACATATTTATAATAAATGCTTATAATTGCGAACTCAAACAAGCACTATGTCAATATTACAGTCTATATCTATTTCGTCTATATATAATCAAAATAAATAAAGTAATTACAATGATATATTTCTGTTAATAAAAATATTTACATCAAATTTTTTTATATTTTATTATCTTCTCTAATCACATATTGTCATGTATTTTATTTTTAAAATATTAACACATAACAGTATTTAATTATGAAACCACATAAAAATATATATCACTATGTGGAATGAAAACTTCACATAATAAATATAGTAAAATTGATCTAAATATTTTTCCTTTGTTAATAGAGTTTGTTTTGAAGGATTTTTTTTTCCCCCGGTTAACTTTTGAAACTGGGTCAAGAAGCTATCAATTTAACCTTGAGTCAAATTTACGAGCTTGGGGCACATTAATAGTTTGTTCTGTTAATATATAAAAGCAAATAAAATAAACTAAAAACAACATGATAAAAGGGAAAGAAATTACAGGGACTTGATTAAAAGAAGATAAAATTATAAGAGTCTAATAATGAAATTATAGAAACCTAATTAAAAATCACCTCAAACTATAAAGAATTAAATGCTAAAATAAATTAAATTAAAATAAAATATTTTTGCTACTATGTATGAGAAATATTATACCAAGTTTTTCTTTATGTATTATGCATGGCTCATTCAGACGGCTTTTCTACCTATATACTACTATTATATACAATAAACGAAAATGCTCAAATGATACACTTTCAACAATATTATCAAGGTGCTTTATTTAAAACGGTTCAAATTTAGGGCTTACTTGGTATAAGAGGAGAGGATGGAAGGGGAGGAGGTTAGAGGGATTTTGCTCCCTTTTTCTTGTTTGAGTTGCTAAAATTTTTAGGAGGCGAGGGAAATTTTTTAAAGATTTCTCTCTTTCCCCCTTCATAACCCTCCACTCCCAAATTGGCAGATTTGAAAGAAAATGATAGTATTTTAATTTGTGTTGAATAATATCCTTATAATTAATTTTTAATATTTTTATATTACCCTTCTAATCTTACATTATGTGTGTAAAAGAAGGTAATTGTCACACTCTTATCAAATCATATGTCAGATCATAAAAAATTGCTCTCCTCCTCTCTTTCCTCTTCAGTCCAAACAAAATAGATAACATTGAAATCCCCCTCCTCCTATTGGCGCAAAAAAAAAAAAAAAATCCCTCTCCTCTCTTTCCATCTTTTGAACCAAAACATCCTTAAAAACGACTTCAAATTTGTGCACAAATCATTCCTTGAAAGAACGATTTGATTTTGTAATTAAAAAAATATGATGTCATATCAGTAATGGGATGAAACTTGTTCCTCTCGTAAACTATTGTGTAGAAAGATGTGAATAAATATTTTTAGAAGTATGGCATTTAAGTACTTTTTTGTTTATTTTTTATAGCATCTAATTGAAAAAGTCCCAGCCTAGACTGTTACATATTAAATTTTAATTTAAATCTTTGTTTTGGTTAGGTTAGTGTTTGCTAAACCTACTTCATTAATAGGGATCGGAGTTTCTGGCGTTAAGTGTCAACATGATGTCAACAAAAGGTTTTTATTCTGGTAAAAAATGAAAAAGGCTTTTATTTCACTAGTAGGAAAAAAAACCTTTTTTATTGACGAAAATTCTAAAAATGATACTTTCAATTTTAATTTGCGAAATATTCGTCATGTGAAATTGATGAGAAATTGACAGACAAAACTAATGATAAATGACGATGACGGAGGAAAAAATTGCAAAAAATATAATGCTTTGGTTAATATACAAAAATTAAAAAGCATCTTAATTTCAAAAAATATATAATTTTTAAAAACACTGGAATATGTTCAAAGTCGCATAACACTGAAGAGAAATTCAAATTGAAATAAACTAGGCAATTTAATATAACTATACGCATGCAATTCGGCTAATATGTATGTGTGTGTATACGCAATAGTCAAGTTTGACACGTACTCTTAAATAATGAGTCCCCCAACTTTTTCTTTCCTGTCGATGCATAAAACTGTCAACGAAACATAATAAAATAATTAATAAAATACTTAGATTATAATGGAATGATACTACCTCCGGTTCTAATTATAGGATTTTGTTTGTAGCCTACAAACAAAATCTTATAAATAAAACCGGAGGTAGTAATATTTTAAAACTAGGATATTTGGTCAAATTTACTTGAAAATTTTGACACAATAAATATAAGAAATTTAATATAAGTATTATCCATAATTAATTTAGGTCATTCCGGCTAAATTAAACGGTAAGGGTAAGATGTCATGAAGAGCTAAGAATTAAAATTACAATAAAGAAAATAAAGTAAGCTGAAATTTGAACAAATATCAATATTATTTTAAATAACGTCTCGCAAATCGTAATCATCGATATAGTAATAGAAGTTACACATTGAAGACCATATATTATATTAAAAATATTAATAAGATAAATATTGAAAGAACCAATTCATGAGGTCAAAAAAAGAACCAATTCAAAAAACAAACAAACAAACAAACCAAGGATCTTTGTCTTCTGTTTTGAGATTTCTAAAGTTAGTCCTTAATTATAATTAATGCTCTTAAAAGGTTCTCCAAATCCTTATCCCAAACTGAATTGAGTTGCAAGATTCATCAGTACACAATACTAGAAAGTAATTGAATGAGATCTGTCTAAAAAGTTTATTTCTGATAAAATATAAATATGTTGTGTGATGATCTATGTAACTAATGTTATTTAGTGGAATAAAATTAGTTGTTGTTGTTGAGGGTTATATTAGTATCAATTTAATGCATTCCTTAGTATATGAGGATGACTTATAAGCGAATTATAATAAGTATTGGATTAATATATCAACTATTAGAAAATATGACATTTAAGCTGATATATATTATTTGATTATTTACATTATACTATTTACTCTAACAAATAGAATAATTATTAAAAAAATATGTATATATTTACACACTCACATATAACTCTATGAGTCTGTATGGTTGGGGGTTATTATTTTTTAAATTTATTTAAAATAAGGTTTATCATGAAATGAGTCTTCTATATTTCATATATTTATCCATTCCGTTCAAATTTTGCTTACCCATCAATATATAATAATATTAACTCTAAGAAAAAAGAGAATAAAATACTCTGAAAATTGCTAAAAAAATAAATCAGTTTGGGTAAATTTCATAATATCAATTCAAACCCTTTGTATTATTTTTAAAATTTCAAATCTTACGAAATCACACAAATACCCTTAACTATTTTTTTATTTTTAATATTGCCACCTCAACACCCTTAGCTGGTTTTCGGTTTTTGGTACTTCAGTGTCGACGACCCTTCGTGTAGTTGGTAGCCAAAGCTCAGATGACATGTCACTAGAACTTCAGTGACCAGTCGCTAGAGCTCTAATGATTACTCTTTCTTATGTATTAATTACTTTTTTTAGCTATTGATTGCATTTGTTTTTATAGCTCTGATGACTACTTTAGTTTAGCTTTTGACTACTTTAGTATTGCGATTCACTATTTTTATTTTTACAAACTTGGTGACTACTCTTGTTTATTTATTAACTATTCTAGTTTTGCTATTGACTACCTTTGTTTCAAAAATTCAAAAAATGCATTAAGTGCTATTGGAGATGTAATGACTACTTTTTGTTTAGTTATTTACTACTCTTGTACATAGTCAATAGCTATGCAAAGTCATCGGAACTTTGCAAGCAAAAATAATTAATAGTGAAATTAGAGTAGTCAATAGCCATATAAAACTAGTCACTGGAGGAATAAACAATGTTGTCATTTCACAATATTTTAAAATTTCAAAATAATATAAGGGGCTTGATTTGGGATTTTAAAATTCACCCATCCCAATTTATCTTTTAGTATTTTTAGGGTATTTTAGTATCTTTTCCATTTAACTCTATATCACACAATTAGGCTATTTCAAATTTTTTTCAATTTACACGAAAAAATAAAATATAAATAAAACACAACATGAATAGTTTGTTTCATGTGTCATTATACTGACTGAATCATTACGCAAAACATAAAAACCAAAATTAGATCCAAAAGCAAAATAAATCTGACAATCTTATGTCTTAACTAGCTCATGTGTGACACTATTTCAATCATAAATATAAGAGCTAGTTTGTAGTGCAAATTGCAATACAAATTAACTCTTATATTTAGGAGGAAATATAAACTTTGATAGCTTCAGCTGCAAGTCTTTCTTAAATTCATGGCAAACGTAGAGAGATTCATTGAGGAGGACCCATCTTCTTTGAGTGCATTGGCAGCAGAATCTTTCAAAACTTTAATTCTCATTCGAATCTCACTACTTTCTTCATCATTTATCAGACTCTTCACAACTTTTGCGATCTCTTCCCTTTCCACCATCCCTTTATTCTCATTAAATTTCGGCCTTAAAGCCACCTTTAAACCATCATTCAGAAAGACAGCATTCATTCTCTGTTCTGCAAAAAGTGGCCAAGTTATGAGCGGAACGCCATGAACAATACTCTCAAGCGTTGAGCTCCAGCCACAGTGACTCAAGAATCCACCAACTGAACTGTGTTTAAGGATTGGAATTTGTGGTGCCCATGAAGGAACAACCAAACCTCGTTCCTTAGTTCTCTCCAGAAACCCTTCTGGTAAGAAATCTAGAGGATTCTGATTTAAGGTATCAAGATAAGCAGCACTAGAAACTTTACTTGGAGCTCTAAGAACCCATAAGAATCTTGTTTCACTTAGTTCCAATCCGTGAGCCAGTTCATTGGTCTGATCTTGAGATAGTGTCCCGCCACTCCCAAATGAAACATAAAGAACAGATTTATGTGGTTGATTGTTCAACCATGTTAAACAAACTGAGTGATCCGACCCATTTGCCTCGTTGCTTGACCCACTTTGTATAATGGGTCCAACTAGATAAATCTGAGGCTTCTTCTCCTTCCCTTGGATTTCTTCATGTATGGCTCTAACTGTATCTGGTTCCAATTCTTGGAAGCTGTTGAGTAGAACTCCATCAGCAAGACGGAGTTTTCTGGCACGTTCAAGAAATTGCTTGTAGCCTAAACTGGATCGATCCTGAAATGGAGCAGGGAGATCTTTGCCAGGAATTGGAACACAACCTGGGAACTTTATGGGTTCCTTTAGGTCTCTGAACTCTGAAGAAACTGTCTCATCCAAAGTTAACGAATAATAATAGAGCGACAATATCATAGCAGCGTGAGGGAGGTAAATGTAAGAGAAGATGTTGAGTTCTGAAGCAAAGTCTAGAACTTCGAAGGCAAAACCATCAACAACCAAAGCTGCAAGGCCATTTCTGGATTTCATGGACTTCAATTCGTTGAGAATATATGGAAGTGACAGAGTCACAGTGAGTTGAACTTGGACTCCTGGAATAACACCTTGAGGTAGTTTTTCTTTGGGTATTGGTGGGAGAAGAATGGAGTCTATATTTGAAGGAAGAGTTTGAAGGTAGGCTATGGAGGAACTTGGGGGAGATTCAAGTGCAGGAATGATGCAGGTGACCTGAAAATCGGGATGAAGATGAACTAGTCGCCTGAAGAATTCAAGAAGGGGAACAAGATGGCTGAATCCAGGACTGGCTACGACGGCGATTTGAGTTGCTTTCTCCATTATTGATACTTCGCCGAAGTGGATTAATGATGTATAGATCTTCTTTCCCAAAACGATTTGTATATATAGAGAATCATGCAAGTAGGTGGGATTCTGATAAATTTGAGTCAAATTAAACACTTTCAGGCTAGCTAAGAGAAGATGGAATCATATTAGGATTATTCTTTTCATATTGCAACATTTGCAGGCACGCATTTGACAATCATAACAGAGAAAGAAAAAGGCTTATTTGATTTTGCTGATAGGGCTGTCGTTGAAAATAACCAGCATTTGATTTTTCAAAATTTTATGTTGACACTTAAGCACAAAAAGGCATGTATTGAAACCCAACCTAAGATACTCTCAGTCTTTCATTAGGCTAAGGTGTAAATTTATCCCGAAAGTTTAATATCGTAGCAATATTAATAATGACAATTAATATTTTTAATGATAGAGGGCAAGATTAAACTTTCAGAGCAAATTTCTCTAAAAAATTCTGAATTCCTAGAGCTGCTAAGTAAAAACTTTTGAAGCAAATTTGCACCTTAACCCTTAGAATGAAAGAAAATCAGTAGCCTAATCTGCATACTTTTCTATTTTCAACCCTTAGAATGAAAGAAAATCAGTAGCCTAATCTGCATACTTTTCTATTTTCAAAAAATGCGGTAGGCGGCCAATTTTCTACAAGTCAAAATGACGTATTAGGATCGCATCAATTAATTTGAAATTCTAGGTTCTTCATCATGTTGACAAAGGAAAACACACACAGGTCAACAGGTGTTAATCTTCATAGAAGATGTCATAATCTCGAGCTTGATTTTATGAGAACGTAGAGAGTACATTGTCTTTAATTTGGAAGAAATTTACTTCTAATTGGGCTCTATACTTAATACTTAATTTGACCAATTACTGCTAAATAGGGGTGTTCAATCAACACATACGTGTCTTGAATATGTATTAATTAATTTGACTTTTACAATTGTAATAAAGAATTTTAAGAATTCAATGTTTTAAATTTATCTAAAATTTTAATTATTCCTTTCATATTGCAACATTTGTGGGCATGTGACATTCATATGAAACAAACAAGAATATAATGGCTTGAATGTGCCTTTCTCTAAGACTTCAACTTTTCAAATTTTTTTTTGTTTCTTTTGATAATTAGGTCATACATAAAATAAGTAATATTTTGATATCTTATAGGCATAAAATGATCCACTTTCAAATTTTTATGATTTTCTTAAAAAAAAAAAAGTAAATCAAAACTACATAATTTTAGGATATTTTTCTTTTAGAAATAAAAAAAATTCAAAACTGCACCATTTCGTGTTCATAATAAAATATTAAAATATCATTCATTTTATATAGAATCTAATGATGAAAAAAAACAAAAAAAAAAAAAAATTTAGAAGGTTGGGTTATTATAAACAACATTAGAAGAAGCACATTAGTTAGAACCTCAAACCAAGAGTATAATATGATCAAGAAAGAATATGAAAGAAAAGATCTGATTTGATTTTACTGATAGAACTGTCGTTGGGAATAAACAGCATTTGCTTTTTCAAATTTTATGTTGACTCTTAAGCACAAAAGGGCATATAACCCCAACCCAAAATATGTTATTCTCTATCTTTCTTTCTTAATTTTCTTCTTTTACTTACCAAAACCCTTGGAATGAGAGAAAACCAGTACCCTAATCTGCATACTTTTCTATTTTCTAACAACTTAACGTTCAAGGCGGCTAATCTTCTAAAAGTAAAATGACGTATGAGTGATGGGAAACTTTAAAATTCTGTGTTCATTAATGTTGGCAATGTTCCTGGCACTTTTATGCTGTGACAAAGGAAAATACACATACATATCAACAATTGTTCATCTTGGTGGAAGGAGCTATGACCTCTTAAATATAGGATCTCGAGTTTGGATCCACAGGAATATAGAAAATGTCTTCAGAAAAAAGTTACTTCTAAATAGGCTTGACACAATTAATACTTAGATTTAACCAAGTACTACTAAGTAGCGATGGAAAAAAATGAGAAGAGGAAAAGTAGAATTTTATGGAATTTATTAGAATTTTATGGATTATCTGGAAGCCAATATATTCCATCAATTTTGATGGAATTGATTTCTATATAGAAGCCAACTCCATGCTTCCTTAAGCCTACCAATGAACATGCTTAAACATGGAATTTAATTAATTTCATTTCCATGAAATCATTTCTAGCGTATCCAACGAGCCCTATGAGTTCTTGAGGGAAAAAAATATATAATCACTAGAAAGTCCTGAAAATAAGTCAGCACTATAATTATGTTGTCATTACTTGTATTAAAACTTGTCATTGCATGTTGTCCTGTTTTTGTTTAGACTTTTTAGTAATTATATTCTTTTCTTTTAGGATTTCGTAATATTTTTTTAGAGTTAAGGTGTATCCAATACCCCGAAGTATTTTTTTAAGTATATCTAGCATCCCGAAATATTTTGTAATCCATCTAGCATCCAGAAATATTTTTTAAATACTCTAGCATCTGAAATATTTTTTTCATCTTGACGCTGGATGCACCCAAAAATATTTTTGAGTGCTGGACATACCTTAAAAAAATACTTTAAGGTGCTGAATGCATAAAAAAAAAAATTCACAGTGGTGAACATACCTAAAATAATATTTTAAAGTGTTTGATGTACTACAAGATACTTTAGGATAGTTAGACCTGAAAAAATACTTCAAGATAGTCAGTGTATCTTACCTTTTTTCGTGTTATGTACAAGTAGCTTGACTACTGGTTTTTGGTAAACCTCTAATGATTTGAATGGTAGTTGTTCCTTGGGTTCAGCTCAATTGGTGGATTCTGTCTAATATCCATTGGGTAAGTGATGGTGGTTTGGTGGCTTGATGCTAACATGGTACGGGCCGATTATTGCCGGGTCATGGTTTGGGCCTTTAGCAGTTGATTGGATGAAGTTAAGCTCGGCCTTTTTAAGAATTCCAGTGAAATTCAATTATTTAGAAGTAAAGGACTACTCGTTTGGCCCAAGTTGTAGGACCAAAAACTGTTTTTTGATCTTATTTATAAAATACTAAGAGAAATTTTTACATGGATATATAATTTTATCTTTTATTTATTATTATCTTGACTTTGTTTCCATGAGGTATAATATATTACCTTCGGTTGTTAATATAAGACCTTATTTTATTTTATTTTAGTTCTAAATATAAACTCTAATCTATTTTGTCTCTCATATTTATGTATTTTTTTTTCAAGGTAGTCTTTTCAATAATAGTAGTTATAGCCGATACATTTGATCAACAAGGATATTTTAGGAAAGACAATACATATTTATTACAAATAACTAACTTAACTTCTTTCATTAATTTTTTCAAATTAGTCAACTAACTCTTATAATTAAAACAGGAGGTAGTATATTAAATAAAAATAAAATTAAAAATTTTTTGAATTTCAACTAAGAATTAATAAAATTTAAGATTTTCTTATTTTAAATATATTAAAAATTACTTATTTTAGCACAGGGAGGCGGGTTTCACGTGATGTTCATAGGGAAGTGTGTCAAATCGAGCCCCACTACGCAATCGTTATATTTTAAGCAGGAACCAAGTTGGCACGCACTTGTGAGCTCAATGCACAATTGATCCCATTTTCTCATTTAACTCTCCTTACCAATCACATATATTAAACAATTTTTTTATTAGAAGGATAATTTTTTATATAAATAATTTAAAATATTTAAAGAACATACATTTTCTAACAAATAATAAGTTTAACTAACTAATTTTCTTAATTGGGATAAGTAATTAAATACCTTGAAAGCATTTACGAGTGAGTACTAGCACATGAAATTTTTTTCTCTTACATGCTTTGAAAGTTTATTTTCATAACAAAAATATTTTGACCGTCATTTACTGTTAAGTTTAATAATTAAATTATGTGATTTGATCAATGTTTTTAACGTTAAATTTAACGGGTAACAATTCAAGATAGAATTGCTTCAAAATAAAAATTTGAGAGCAAATAAGAACAAAAAAAAACTTACAGGTGTTGTCGATACTTCTAGGATATTTAAGCACCTTATACCTTTCTTAATATCTATAAATTAGAAAAATTATTACTTTAGTCCTTATAGTTTTGACTATTATGTAACTTAGTTCTTATATTTTGACTCGATACAATTCTTATATTTTTGATTGGGAGTGCTTTTTAATGTTTATGTAATCAAAATAGTTACTCCCTTCGGTCCTTAATATGAGACCCTGTTTGACTTTTATTTTGGTCATAAATATAAGACCCCAATCCACTTTCTCTCTCATGTTTATATTTTTTTTTTCCAAAGTAGCCCTTCTAAGAATAAGAGTTTTAGTCAATACACTTAATTAACAAGGATATTTTAGGAAAGACAACACCTATTTAGGAAAAATAACTAACTCAACTTACTTCCTTAATCTCTTTAAATTAGTCAACTGACTCTTATAATTAAGAACGGAGGTAGTATATAGCAAAATGGGAATTACTTAAAACAGAGACTTATATGGCCGTTTACCCAATCAAATTCAAATATGAGCTGACTTTAAGTGACTGCACGGAAGAAATTGGAGACGATAAAAACAAAGAAAAAACAAAGGAACAAAATGACATCACAAAAAGCTTTAAGTTTCAACTTAATTACATCATTTGATAGCCCTTGACGAAGATTCAGAGAAGTTGCAGACAAACCACTTCTCCTTCCACATAAATAAATCCATACCAATCCATCTCTCCTTCCAAAACAATCAGTACCCTATCAAGAAATCAGAGCTAGCCAATTCATTTTCATGGCGGAAGAAACTCACATAGCTGTGATTCCCAGTGTTGGTTTCAGCCATCTGGTCCCGATTATTGAGTTCTCCAAACGATTGGTTCAACTCCACCCAGATTTTCATGTCACCTGCATAATTCCTTCACTTGGGTCTCCTTCTTCTTCCTCCAAATCTTACCTTCAATCTCTTCCTTCAAACATAAACCCTATTTTCCTCCCTCCAGTACC